ATGTAATCACTGAATACCGCTTTAGATCATGAATGCGCTTAATCACTAATATTCAGTTTCAGTCTTTGACATTCAATGAAGGTTTTTTGGTGTGATTTTTGTCTTCTTAAAGTATTGTTGTTGCTGTAGGATTTACAATGCATGTTTCAACAATCACTGAACAAACTCAGTGATGATCGATGGAACTAAAAAAACATAAACGTAATACTTCGAAAGGTAAAAGGAATTATCATCAAATCAATGAGAGAGAGGATCAACACTCCTTCAGTTTCAGATATTTTTCATTTTCATGTCTGAAGGATGATGAGATGTGTGAAGATGGCTTTGCAGCTTTCTTTGACCTGCATTAACTAGCAAAGTGTCTTTTGTGTTGACAATTAAAGCAGTTAGTTGAGCCCTTGTCAATTGGATTTGACTTTGACTTGTCAGCGATAGTAAGAGAAGGAGATCTGTTGAAATTACTTTTTCTAGCGAACCTTCTGAAAGAGTTTGTAAGGAGGGTCAGTGACTCATAAAACTCTGATAAATCAGTGTCTGTCAAGTCCTCAAAGTTTGAAGGATCTAACTCAGTGATAAAAAGAGATGAAGAAAAAGTAGAAGAAATAGAAGGATCGACTAAATGGGTTTTAGAGATCAAAGTTAAAGGAGAACTTTTCATATATCTTGAATCATTAAGAAGATTCTTCTTCAACTGACAGGATTGCTAATGATTAAGCAATATCCAATAAACAAAGCTGAGGGAAAGGAAGACATGTCCTTAGACATTTTGAGACACATGGTATAATTATCCCATGATTCTGGCCAACATTCTAGGAATTTTTTAGAGTCTCAAAGTTAGAATATTCTCTTCCAACTGTCCTTAAATCAACAAGAAAACAATTAAAACATTGATGTACTTCAAACAACGATTCAGATTTTCCATAGAGAAAACTTTCATATTGTCTTACTAATTTTTTCTTTCTCGAATCTTGTACTTCAGAAGTACCTTTATATTGAACACAAAGAGTGTCTCAAAAGGTTTTTGAGGATTTCAAATTCATCACATAATGATAAACCTCATCAGGAAGATACATGGCTATTATAGATTATCTCGAGTATCTAAAGCCATTTTCTTCTTGTCTTCGTCACTCCAATGATGAGGGAACTTCAAAATATGTCGTACAAGAACCGCAACAGTCATATCAGTTACAAGAACTACTGGAGAGATTGCAAATGGAACATAGGGTCCATTTTCAATGTACTATAGAATCTATGGATCCACACCTTCTAAGAAAAGAGACATCCGGTTCTTCCAGAAACTGAAGTTGTCTCTGACGAACTAGGAAGGTTTAGCAAGGGAGCCAATGTCGTGAAAGTTTGTGTTCATGTTTTGCAATGCCATTAGAATGGTAAATAAATTATCTAGAAATAAGAGATAATAAAAACACCAATAAAACACTAATAGACACTAAAACAAACACTGCTCTGATACCACTTGTTGGTCTCAGTCGGATCTACAAGAGTTTAAAGGTGACAATTTGTAGAAGGGGGGTGAATACAAACACAACAACTTCCGCTTTTAAAAATCTTTTATTTATAAAGAAGATCAATATAGTTATTTACAGATTGTTTGCAGAAAAGATAAGATAAAAAAAACTTATATAAACAATCAAATAAACTCACAAATTATAGAAAGCAGGAAAGAAAAGACTTGCTTAAATAAATGGTTAAGAGGTCTTGTGCTCTTCACTGGTTCAAGTGGTTGAGGGAGACGGGGAAGTATCTTCTTGGGTAATATGATCTTCTAAGCTCGGAAGCTTGGCTTAGACATAGATATTGAGAGGAGGGGCTTTTAAGATATTTATACTCATTACATTAAATGCAAGATAAAAGGTACAAAGCACGTGGCAAGCTTCTAGAGGTGAGCTTGTCCATTGTTGTAGATATACAGTCTTTTGACCGTATATGAATAGTAGCCTTTCACAAAGTAGGTAAGCATGCTTGGAGACAATTGATCGTACAGTACTTTACTTTGAGAGGTATGGTGTTTTTCTTTATGTGTAGAAGAACAAGACAAAAACTAATCTTCTTCAACAAGATTCATTTGATCGCTGACACTGGAATGACGCCGAGATCTCATCATTGTTCGCTGAATTTTGACTAGTTTTCACACTTGTGTAGACAGGGTTGTTATCACTCAAAACTACACCAAATCATGAACTTGCTTGTCTCTATCTTCAACTTTATCTTCCATAACACTGTAGGATCTATGGTGTGAGTTTTGTCTTTCTGAATAGCACTTGTCTCTGAGAGAATTACAATACTTGTTCAACGATCATTGAATAGACTCAGTGATGATCCTGAAGCTGAATAAAGAGATATTATACTTCGTAAGAAAAAAAGGATCATCATCAAATCACTGAGAGACAGGATCAACACTTGATTATAATTAAAATTTAAATCCCAACACTTCTTCTTCTATTTTTCTCAATTTTTCAATCCTCTTTTTCTCATCTTTAATAAATTTCATTTCTTTTGTTAATATACTTGACTAACTTTAATGATGTTTGCCTCTTTTTTACCTTCTTTCTTTCTTCTAACATATTTTTGCTTATGCTTTTCTTTTAGAAAATCCTCAGAGAGTTGATTAACAGTCACCTCACGACCAAAGGTTCAAAGTTAGAGGTAGAGTCATCAAAGATGGTTTGTTCAGAGGTATTAGCCTTCATGTATATAAGTCCTTTCTTATTTTCTTCCTTAAAGGTGGAATCAAAGATCTAGTTTTTCTTTTCAGCCATCAAACTCCTTTATTTTTTTTGTTGTACTTGTTATTGTAGTATTCTGCATCTTTTACCAACTTTCCTCTACAATAAGCTACAAGGTGACTATGTTTGCCACATCTGTATCATATGGAGGTTTATGTACCCTTATTTAATTATTTCTTCTCTTGCATTTTGTTCTCTCTATAGTAGTAGTTGATGGGTTTCTGGTCTATAAAGTTCTTCTAGTACCTCTCACGTCTGTGTTCTCTTATGTGGTGTTTCTCATATGGCTTATTGACAAACTTTCTTGGAAATTCTTTTGTAATCTGGCTCTAGTATCAAAGGAACAGGATAAGGTAGAAAGCTCACCCGGAGACGGCTCCAAAAGGAAAGGAACGAGTAAAGCCTTAGTGATACACTAAAGCCATAGATTGTCCCTGTGTTACTTTCTTCTTCATGATATCCTCTTATTGTGCAACCATAGTGCCATACACATCATGAAGAGACCAATTATCAAGGTCTTGATTAGCATGTAGGGACATGGATAATTGTTTTCACTCTTCATTCGAACTTTTTAGAAACATAACATTATTAGTTTCTTTGGTTCTTATGATATCATTTCTTCTTCATTCAATGATAGGTGTTCTGAAACGATCATAAGTCTTCTAGAGAGATCCATGTGGTAGGGCTGCAAAACTGGTATACTCATTGAGACATTGACAATGTCGATTCCTCTTGGTTTTAGCACTGCCTTCCAGTTGATTGGCCAGCTCATCCAAAATTTTCTTGGCACTTTTACAGGTATCTAAGGATTGGAATATTTCATTCAGAATGGTCATGATGAGTAGACGTTTGGCATTTCTACCAACCTCCACTTTTTCTTTATCATCCTTGTCCGATGTGTTATTATCAAATGAAATGATTGAGACCAACACATCTAAACAAAGTTTTAAGAACCTTTCTAGAATAAAGCATCATATTATCTATTTTATAGAAAACATTTGAGAAGTGTCCTATAAACACATTTTTTCTTAGAACAATTTTTTGTAAGACATTTCTCAAATATTGTCCTATTAAAAAACTAATCTAACACTTTAAAAATGTCCTAAAAAGCTTTTTAAGATACTAAAAAGTGTCTTGTAAACTTTCTTTAATATCTTTAGAGAGGATGTTTTATCGTTTGGTCTTATAAATAAGTATATTAAAACATATTGATGTTTTTTAGCATCCTATAGACCAAATTTTGTAGTAGTGAAACCCACTTTTATGGTCTATTCATATGTAGAAGTCTATTAAACAAAATGAAGTATTATATTTCTATCTCCATGTAAGGGTGCAAGAAAAACACTTCGTGCAATATATTTACCAAAAAATGATTCTTCTCTATTCTTGGTAAATAAGAATCTTTTGCATATCTAATTAGATAAGTGGCTAAGACCTTTTTGTATGTTTATCTCCAAAAATACTTTCCATATACAAGATATTTGAATTGTTCTTTCTAGTTAGTTTTCCATGTGTAGGAAATGTGGTTTGGTTTGTAAGGATGGAATAGATTCCAGACATTTGGATTTTAAATCCATTTTAATCTCATGTTTGGTTTGTTAGATTGTCCAGATTTGAAATCCTAGGATTTAATTGAAATCCAACAAACATTAGATTTTGAAATCCTTAATGAGTATTCGGAATTTCACTGATTACGTATGATTGTATGAAATAGGGTTTTAAAAATGTTAAAGCCATTTGTTTTGCAATAATAGATTAGTAAAAATGTCATTTAATTATATTTATAAATTTTTTTAAATTATTTGTAAATAATGGAATCCAATTCCATTCTAAACCACACAAACCAACACACCAACAATTTCAAATTCATTACAATCCAAATCCCTTCAAATTCAAATCTCTCCATGAAATCCAAAATCCCTTAAAACTAATCCTACAAACCAAATGGACCTTAAGGGATTTAATTATAGCACCTTCTTGGTATTGGAACGTTGTTCAGATGTGGGTTTGCCATAAAGGGAGGCTACGTTGGATCCTTATCATCCGAATGATCCATCATTCTCCATTTCAGGCTTCAAAGTTCAATTTAAAAAAACTGCTATGGGTGTGTTTTTGTTTCTTAAATTTTATGCATAGGAATTTAAAGTACTTAAATTGTTGTATGCTTATGATTTCATTACCATTCTCGAATTGTTTTTAAATACCAATACAAACCCAAAAGCAGATAAGGTTATGACGGGTGATTTTTATTCGTACTTAAGTAACCAAAGCATGCCTTAGTGCTGTCTTCTGCTCAGGTGTCAACTTCGTAGGAAATTTGATTTCAAATTGAACCTTTAGATTCCCTCTTAACTCAGGATCCTTAGCGATTGGCATTCCCTCTTGGCTAACCACAAGCTCATAAAAAGGAGTAATAATGTCAGTTACTGTGATTGCTAGATCTCGTTGATCAAGTGTCGTAATGTTAATGGTGGTTCCTCTAAGTGCCTCTCCTAAGGTAACCTTATACTTCATCAACAAATCGTTTCCATCTCTCATATACACGTCATGAGTCTTCTCATCAATTACAAACACCAGATCTGCCGGAAGCTGGTGAATTTGTTCGTTTCCTTTATTGGGGAACGTGATCTTTGTTCCCTTTTTCCACCCTTGCTTCACATCGATGGTCAATATCTCTGTGTCTTGTTTGAAATGCCTGCGATGAAGGTACCAACAAATGAAAAAAAAAAAATACTTGATTGTTCATAAACATGAAAACATCTATCTACCATATGATATTACCATACCCATTGGCATCAACCACTATTCTTGAGATCTTCATTTTTCTTGTTGTCCCATTATACAATTCCTCAAGGCTACAAGGCAATTTGTTCTCCACTGGTGGAGGTTTTTTTTGCATGGTTGAATCATTACCATCATTTGACCCTTTAAAATTGTTCTCAGTTCTATTGTAGCCACCAAATGTTCTTCCTCCGGCTCCTGATGTCTCATACTCGAAAGGGCTACTACCAAAAAACTCCGCAAATATATCCTCGGCACTTTGAGCATTGAACCCTTTTTTGCTATTAGAATCATGTTTTGGCATTTCTGTCAAGCCTTCTTCACCATGTTGATCGTATAAAGACCTTTTGTGAGGGTCGCACAATATCTGGAAGACATAAAAGGGAAAAATCTATTAAAATAAAACAAAGTTAGAAGTGAAGATTGGCAAGTAATATACTCATCTTGTAACAATTCCATGATATCACGCTTACGAGATGTTTGTGGAAGCGTTATGGCGAAACGGACGATAAACATAAATATCATTTCACCAAATGTTATAAGATGAAACGTAGAATGAGCGTAAAATAGGAAATTTTTAAACTTTATTAGATTGATTTAGATAAAATCACTTTTACACTAAATAAAAACTAAATCAACCTTCTTTGCAATGTGTGAGATACACAATCCTAATCATAATTAGAGAAAAGTTAATTGATATGTATATCACACTTTTACTTTTGTAATTCAATATTTGACTAATGTAGATCACAATGACTTCTTGCAATTGGCAAATATTTATGATCATGAGAAAGATGAGAAATAAAAAATTTGTAAATGGGTTGGTAGAGATTACTTCATAGGCTTCAGATATCTGAATGAACTTGGCTTCAGCCTCACTCTTGTTATTGGGGTTCTTGTCCGGGTGCCATTTCATAGCAAGCTTTCTATATGCTTTCTTCAGATCATCATCAGTCGCGGTCCTAGTAACGTTCAATATGCTATAATAATCCACACCCATTTCTATCTCCCTTTATGTGACCTTATATATACGATTCCAAACTGCATGTTATGAACAAAAAAACATTACATCATCAATTCAAACTAGAAACCTCCTCCTTTCTCATACATCAATACTTATAAATATTTAACAAGGAAAAAAAACCTTCAATGAATCGATGATTGGGATTTGTTCCTAATAAAAGAAAGATGATATTTGCGACCAATTTCAGTTATCCTTTTTCTCTAGCGGCTATCTTAAAGGGTAGGAACAACCGTTGTTTTTTATGGTGCAACCGTAACTACGGAGTAAAGAAGAAAATACCAAACAATTGTATTATTGTTTACACAAACATCCCTTGTACTTCATTTGAATACATGATCCCTGTACCCATGTTTTCTCAATATTCTGTTATCGCAAGGTAATAAAAAACCCTTTTTACACATTTTGGGTCATTCAACCTTGTAAAATGGTACTACCTTTTTAGATGATTTTTTAATGAAAACCATGTAAAAAGGAATCTTATTTACCGTTTTTCTATTAAAAAAAACTGTGAAAATTTTATTTTTCATTATCCATGACATTCTTTGTACTAGCGCCATTATTCGAAACATAAATCTACCAAAATCAACTTTCAACATTATCACTAAACGTTATCACTAGAAGAAAAATGATGTATTTAAAAGTCTTAAAAGCTTCATTAAGAGTTTTAGAAAAGCTTTTCACTTTCGTCAAAAAACTTCCCTATATAACGATAGGTAAAAATTTTAGGAGGGTTTTTGTAAGGTACATTTATATTAACCTTTTGGGCAGAATGTTCACAAAAAGCTTCTCTAAAAGTTGGTAGAATGTTTCCAAAAAGCTTCTATAAATGTATATATTAGTGATGTTTTTCAAGCATTAGTAACAGTTTTCGAACGTCACTATATGGTACCTTCAAAGAAGGTTTTTGGAAAGCTTTCTCTAAAGGATTAGGCTTTAGTGACCCTTTCTGTAAACCCTCTCTAAAGGTATCCTTTAGTCACACTTAATAACTATTGGGTTTAAATTTTGTGTTCAAGTCCTTGTGGTTAATCTGTTTTACAAGATTTGTAATTAGGTCTTTAATGCTTTGTAGTTAGTCCTTTATAAGCTTTGTAATAAGGTTATAAATATGTCCCTTGTTAATTGTGTGCGTTAGTCTTGATCATAACCTTGTGAGATCATAATTTTGTGGCATATCAGGCATAACTCTCTCAAGAACACTCTGTATTGTATAGCAAGTATGATCATGACCTGATCTGGGATCTACAATTGATATCAGACCACATCAGAAAGATCTAGATTGTTTTTGGAATCAAATACTGCTTGAAATTCTTGATTTGTTGATTGACAGTTTCCGTTTTTGGTTGGAAAACTGGGTTGTTGATTTTGATCAAATTGGACCATTTTGAGCCGTTTTTGGAAAAATTGCTTCTATAAAAGATGTTTTAATTGCATTTGCAAGCTAATCGCCCATTGATGATTTTTATTGAGCGATATCCTGATGAATATCGCTCCATGATGTTAAAGGTTGCTTGTATTATGTTTTTTTAAATCGTTCAAGTGTTGAAAGAGATTCGAAGATATCTGCAAGAGTATTGCACGATATTTCTTTGTATCGCCTAAAGGTGTCAAAACTTGCATGATATTTGTGAATATCGGCCAAAGGTGTTGAGGAAATAGGTCAAAGGTTGCAAAACATTTGGTTAAATCAGTAAAGTTTTGAAAGATATCCTTATATTTGTTAAGTATTTGAGAGATATCATTTAAAAGGCTTAATCGATATTATAGAATACCGCCCACGTGTTGAGCGATATTCGTGGATATCGCCCAAGGCATAAGCGATATCGTGTGAAGTTGAGAATACCGACCAAGTCTTGCCCGATATTTTTTTAAACTGCCCAAGCCTGAAGCGGTATTTTAATTTGTTGAGAACACCACCCAAGCCTTACCCGATATCCTAGTATATCATCTAAAGCTATGAGCGACATCCGTGTGAGAGATATTCCGTGTTGAGCGATTTTCAAGCGATTTCTATTCATTGTAGTGAGCGATTTTATGAGTGATTCAATAAATTTCTAGGTGTCAATAGATTTATCTCAAGGTTCCAATCCAGTTGAAGATCATTTTCTAAAACGATCGTCCCAAGTCAATTTTTAAAGATGTCTAAAGATATGTTGGGTATTGGGTCAGACTTTAAGCCACCAGTTCTTGCCATTGGTGAGTACCCACAATGGAAAGTCTGGATGATTCATTTTCTAGACAACAAGGATGAGAAGTTGATGCAGTTAATCAGAATTGGGCCATATATTATTTATGTTGATATTCCTGCTCATACTACAGATGATGGTATTTCAGTTACTGCTAGAAGATAAAAGAAAGATCTTCAGTTTTACAATGAAACTGAAAAAGTAAAGGTGTAGATAGAAAAAAAGGCATTAACTTACATGTTTATGGCCATACCAAATGAACTGTTTAACAGGGTTGATAGTCGTTGTTGATCATCTCTCTCATTGATTTGATGATGATTCCTTTTACCTTATGAAGTATAGTATTTCTGTTATTTAGTTTCAGTGATCATCACTGAGTATATTCAGTGATCGCTGAACATGTATTGTAATTCCTTCAGAGACTATTATACTTCAAGAAGACAAAATTCCAACACAGATCCTTTATATGTCGAACACATAAGCTGAAGATTAGAGAGCAGCAAGTTCATGATCCCAAGTGGCATTCAATGATTACAAGCTCTTCTATATATGTTTGAAGTCTATGCAAGTTTCAGTGAATACTGAAGAGAGCTTTTAGCGTTATTCCAGTATTCAACGATCAAATGAAACTTACCAAGCACGATTATTTTTGTTTTGTCCTCCCTCACACAAAGGACAAAACCATACCTTTTTCTAAAGTAAATAGTACAGAACCACTCTGTTGACTCTATTGTGCTTATCTACTTTATGAAAATAGAACTGCTCATATACAGCCAAAAGGACTATTTACCGTAAATAAGGACAAACTTTACTCCAAAAGCTTGACATGTGCTTTGTAACTTTTGAATTTCATTTAATGAAATTGGTATAAATAGTTGAGTGTTCTCCTCTAAGTTATCAATCTTCCTCACTTTTAACTTACCCGAGAAGTTACTACTCTCCATTCTCTACCTAAGAGAAGAACCACTTTGAACGAATGAAGAGCATTTTTATTCCTATCTTTATTTCTTGTAGCAAATATTTTCTCTTTGCTATTTGTAATTGTGTGTGACATCCGTCATTTTCGGAGCATCAAGTTAGCATCTTTATAGGATTCCTATATTTAGAATAATATTTACTAGGGTCTAGTCATATTGATTATAAATCAATTGACTTAGCTCCTAAATTATAGTTTAGAAAACCATGTCCCAACGGGTAACTGATAAAGTAACTTATGTAATGCCAAATATTAAAAATTCTCTTAAAATAAAGGGAAAAGTACAATAAAAACCAATGGACTTTTTTGTTTGGAATGATTAAGTCCTTGGACTTTTTTTAGAACAAATAAGTCCTTGGACATTCCAAAACATGTTAAGTAAGTCCTTGGACAATTTTTTGGAACAAATAAGTCTTTGGACATTCCAAAATATGTTAAATAAGTCCTTGGATAATTTTTGGAACAAATAAGTCCTTAGACATTCCAAAAAATGTTAAATAAGTCATTGGACAATTTTTGGAACAAATAAGTCCTTGGACATTCCAAAAAATGTTAAATAAGTCATTGGACAATTTTTGGAACAAATAAGTCCTTGAACAATCCAAAACATGTTAAATAACTTCTTGAACTTTTATAAAACATGTTGGATATATTTTTATGACTTGTATAACTAGTTAAAGTGGTAAAATAGTGAAAAAAAATCCGGAAAAAACCCCAATGAACATTCATATTTTGAACGATAAAGTGGTAAAATAGTGAAAAAAANATATTATTTTTAATTAAAATAAATTTCACCAGTAATCTTTTTAAATCTTTCTTTAATTTAAAAAATCACATACATGATATATATATTTTTCATTAAAATAAATTTAATAATAATTATTTTTTTTTGTTTGAAAAATCACTGACAGAATATATTTTAAATTTAATTAAAATAAACTTTATCAAAAATCTTTTTTAAATGTAATTATTTTTTTTGTAAATGTAAGTACTTTTTTGTTATATTTGTTAAATTTTATAGATCTAAATACTTTTTGGTTCAATAAATATTTAGGGGCTTAATYGTTCAAAATATGAATGTTCATTGGGTTTTTTCCCCATTTTTTTCACTATTTTACCACTTTAACTAGTTGTACAAGTCATAAGAATGTATCCAACATGTTTTATAAAAGTTCAAGAAGTTATTTAACATGTTTTGGATTGTTCAAAGACTTATTTGTTCCAAAAATTGTCCAAGGACTTATTTAACATTTTTTGGAATGTCCAAGGACTTATTTGTTCCAAAAATTGTCCAAGGACTTATTTAACATTTTTTGGAATGTCCAAGGACTTATTTGTTCCAAAAACTGTCCAAGGACTTATTTAACATATTTTGGAATGTCCAATAACTTATTTGTTCCAAAAAATTGTTCAATGACTTATTTAACATGTTTTGGAATGTCCAAGGACTTATTTGTTCCAAAAAAAAGTTTAAGGACTTAATCATTCCAAACAAGAAAGTCTATTAGTTTTTATTGTACTTTTCCCTAAAATAAATAAAGTTGATACTATAAAATTCAAATTTAAAATTTAAAAGTTTTATTTCAATATACAAATAATTTTTCCAAAATTTGGAATCTTGATTTAATAATGAATAATCCTATTGGTGTTTGATAAAAATGTATTAAATTAACATTAAGTTGGGTTGTATTTATTTATAAGAAAATTAGAATAAAAATGAGGTGGTTTGGGCCTTGAATGGGTCGGCCCCTTTAGTCTCATATAAAAACCCCACTTCTTTTGAAATATTTCATTTCACTTTCACATTTCTTCTT